GTGGGTGTCCTGTCACTCTGCGGAATTATCCTACCCTGCATCCCCCCACTCCAGTTCCCCTCCTCCCACTCTTCCACAGCCCCCACCCCCTCCCTCGCACCCCGTTTGAATTCCCCGGCCCGCCTCCGCTTACCGTTCTGCTCCAGTCGCGTTTTGGATCCATTTTTCTTCCTTTATAAACCGAGACCCGAGGCCAGGGCTGATTGTGAGATCCCTGCACTGATTCTAGGCAACAACAACAACTTGCATTCATATAGCGCCCCTCACGGAGGATAGCGTCTCAGAGCGCTTCTCGACCACAGCCAAAGAAGTCGTCTTTATTTCGTCTAAAGACAAAACTCTGGCGAACAAAACTATGGGACTCAGATCAAGTGAAACACAGCTGATGGATGCATCTCAGTGTGATATCCCCCTCGCTATGTGATAACGGGTGGGGGAGGAATGCGTATATGACGCAATCGCCTTGTGATATAGTAAAGCTGTGTGATAACAGCAGCTTCCCGGCACTGACAGAGCTGCACAGTGTCAGTCCAGGCAAAGCTGAAGAAGAAGGACTTGATTGATGAATTAACTGTCCTATTTGCATGTCTTTGCATCCGCTGAGAGCAGCCGTTCCAAACACGGATGTTTATTTTGTATCGTGTCAGGAATCCCAGCTTCTGCTGAGCACGTGTGGAGTGGGGAGGGAATGTTTCCCCAATTGCTCAGTTATTTCGGGCTGTCTGTTGTGGGTCTGTTTGCAGTTTTCAGCAAGGCACATGTGACAGATTTTTTCGTAGCCGATTTATAATACTAAAAATAATAATAATCCTCGCATTTGATACAGTGCTTGTATCGTCAGTGTCTCATGGGTAACGATTGTCACGTGTAGTGACTGTGCATTTGTGACCAGTTTCCACGCGAGATGGCCTCATCGCACGGCCGTGGATGTGGATGTGCCGACTGGAGTCCTGGGAGGGATCTCTTTAATAATAGAATGGGACTCTCTTTAACAGCTGATCAATGCTACTTCTCCAGGAGCACAAAGCCTGGCCTGTGAGCTCAATCCCGACGTAGGGCTCGAGCCCATAGCCTGTGTCTCGGACGTGGAAACCCGAGCGACTGCGCCAAGTGAGTTGGGATAATAATAAAAATAATAATCACGTGTTCGGGAAGTCTCAAAGCGCTTCACAGAATGTACTGTAAAAGTATAGCGACTGTGTATTTTGCGGGCAAAACGGGATCTTTAACGTCTGCCTTATTGTGTCTCGCCCGGAGGACAGAGTGTGAGACAAGCTGACGGACGTGTTGAGGAATGTATAAGGGGTGACATTTTGGTGGAGGGAAAGTCTACGCTTTTCTCTGAGGCTGTTGACGAGAGTATTGAATATTCAGGGAGTGATGTGGGTGGTGGGGAGGGGACCGGACTGTGCCGACCAGGTGCCAGCACTGAGTCTGACCAGGAGCGGGTGACGGGGGGGGGGGGAAATCCAGGAAGTTAGGAGGGATACATCATCGAGCAGTGGAACAGTACTTCACCCACTGATTGTCTCCAAAGCACAACATCTCCAAGTGATTCGCATCCCAGGGCACCTTTGTCAGCTTGGGTCTGGGCTCCTGTTGAGGCTGAGACTCGCTGAGCCACCCAGGGCCTCTCCCGAGCGGCAAAATCTCGGAGCTCTTCATAAAGAGCGATCGGGAACTCTGAAATGAGGAGGAGGTTTGGGAACGTTGACCAAAGACAGGGTCAAAGTGAGCGATTCCATCCATTTTATCCTACCTCTGTGACCGCACTTTCGGTTTTTGGCCGGTCATGCCATAATCTTCTGCCTCTGTGCGTGTGCCATTGTGTATTTGTGTAGGTGGTTGCAGGTATCTGTGTGTGTTTGTATGGTAACTTCTTTTTTTGGCAATAATCTTACGGTTCAGGCAAGCAAAACCCATCACACAGCCCAGGTCCCCAGCAGTCCTGGCTCGGCTTGTCAGAACCTGTCTGTGCACTGTGTTTCTGAAGCTTGTGTTCCCTCCTGGTCACTCCACCTGAGTCTCTCCTCTCCTCACCTCACTTCACAGGAGCGTAAACGTGTGCAAGCCATTCCGCTCGAGCAGAAAGACATGCCACATTGAGGCCAACCCCAGTGTCGAAGTGAGCTAGCATGTGGAACAGTGGGATAAGCCAGTTCTATTATAAGCACAGGAGGAAAGGTTCTTTCCTGCGATTGAAGGGGGTAAATCCAGAACGAATTTACGCAAACACTATTTCAATTAGCGAATAGTGAACCTGTGGAACGGCTTCCCCAGGGAGACTTTTGAAGCAGGAAGTGTTGATTCTTTCAAACACAGATTAGATAGTTCTCTTTTAGGAAATAACATTATGGGATATATGATGTACTTCGGGACATATGTGAATGCGACCACCAGGAAGGCAAACTATATGGACCTTGGTCTTTTTTTGTCTAGCATTTCTCATGTTCTTTTGACACTGGTTTAGGATTAAGGGGGGGAGGTATTTTGTTGTTGATTTCTTTAATTTATTTTTTTTAAAAAAAGGTGTTCCCGACAACATGAAGATGCGCAGCATCAAACTTTAGGTTAACTATTAGTAGTGTTTCATTGTTAGCTCGACATGAGACGACTGAGACCAGGCTGAATTGTGTTCGACAGTTCTTGGGGGAGCGAGGTGAAGGGCTGAGATGTTAGAGCATTGTAATGTGACGCTCTGTGCCGTTGCTATGCTGGCGGAGGGGAGCGCCGTTATTATTTGGACGCAGTAGAGATTGTACCCTTAACGCGTGAAGAACTAACTGTTCCCAGCCTCTAAGCTTGGATGCCACAACGCTGTGGGACTTGGCTCCACCACAGCTTTGTGTCCAAAGTCTCCTATGTTGAATGCGGTGTATCTTTTCTTTCACACTCGCACGCTCAGGGAAATGGATTTATTGCTCTCTTATAATACCACTGATAATAATCCTTGCGTTTGATACAGCGCCTTCACATGTCGTTGAGACGTCTCAAAGCGCTTCACAGAATAAAGCAGATTGACTGTGTATATTGTGGGCAGACAATTGCACAGCAGAGGATCACAAAGAATCGTGGATTGAGTGACCAATTTTTCTTTATTTTGGAGGGATTCTTAAGGAAAGCAATTCGTCAATCGACTAACAACTGGGTTCCCACTTACTGCTAGGTGAACAGAGGCGTGTGGAGAAAGTAAACTTGTCTAAGGTTTCACCCTGTCCAGGACCTAAACCCAAGTCATCTCACTTTACGGGGTAATAGTACTCCTCCACTGGAAAAAAAAATGTGGTCACATAATCCAGGACCGTTTGTGGGTCTCGGCTATAGCAATTGGCTGCCATATTTCGCCCACAAAATAAACAGTCAATCCACTCTACAGTACATATACTTTAAAGTGCTTTGAGATGTCTCAATGATAACGTGCTAGATCAAATGCAAAGATTATTATTATTGTTGGCGGGATGGGTTGTCATTTGCTCTCTGGTGCGAGGGGGGAGAACAAAGAGAGGGAGGGAGGGAGGGAGGGAACGAGAGAGAGGGAGAGAGAGATTTAATCAGCTTTGAAGTGAGCTTGTAGCTGGTGTGAATACAACATGCAGCATTGCTGACCCGAGAACACTCAGTCCTGTCTCAGCTCAGCGACAGCTCCTCGCAATCAGCAGCCGCAGTGTGCAGCCTCTTGCAGTGGGGGGAGTTGCATTACCTGCTTAGTGTTTGGTTTGTAGATGGTGCTTCTGTTGCGTTAAGGAATTACTAGCTTGTCACTCTGTATGAGGCGCTGGTGACTGATTAACTTGTGTGTGGCACAGGCTGTAACAGGTTCATTGTCATCCCCTCCACCCCCCCGTCCGTCCGTGCAGGTGGCTGGTCAGCCGAGCGTGGGGAAGTGGGCAACAACTGAGATATCATCAGAAGGAAGGGCAAGAGGGCAAGTTAACCCTTCGAGCGTTTGAGAGTTGATTTAAATCTGGGATTGAAAAGATCGGTCTTCAAAAGAGCCAGCACAGATGTAAGATGGGCCAAATGGCCTTCTTCTGTGCTACAACTCTTTGTGTTTCTCTGGTACTTTAATACTTGCATTTGATATGGTGACTTTCAGCTCGTTGAGACGTCTCAAAGCTCTTCACACGATATACTGTAAAGTGGAGTGACTGTGTATTTTGTGAGCGAAACACGGCAGCCAGTTGTGCACAACAGCGTCCCCACAAACAGCCATGGAGTGAGTGACCGATTTTGTTTGGGGGATTGCTGGCCAGGACACCGGGAGAAAGGAATACCCTTCCCTTTTTTGAATTGTGCCATGGGATCTTTAACATCCACCTGAACAGGCAGAAGGAACCTCAGTTTAACGTCTGATTCAAAGGACGGCACCTCCGATAACTCAACACACCTCCCCAGTACTGCATCGGAACGCAAAACTAACGCAGGTGGAAGGGAGATTGACGTGGTGCGAAATCACGGCAGGCAGTGGGCTGCATGGTGCCTGTGGGCGCGTGCGTGGCAGAGCTTAGCATTGGCCACCGGTCACTTTTGCTGTACAGGTGATGGGACGGCTTTGCAACAATAATCATTGGCCGTGATTTTTTTTTCGGAGCTCAGAAAACTGCAAGTTTGTAGGTTGGAAGCCCCCCAAAATACCCTGTCGTTATTGCCATTGGCTCTTCGCGGTCTCGCAGCTGTTGTTATTGGCCGCTTGTACTGTCAGGCCCAGTGACGGCTGAAATAACTGTTAAAAAACAACAGGAAACTTTCGGAATTCTCGGCTTTCCAAGCGCTTGCTTTTTCTCCCCTTTCTTCTCCCTGCTTGTAATCTCTCGGTGACTTTTTGCTCCTCTCGAACTTCGTGCCATCCCACAGGGCATTCCCGAATGTCAGAAAGTAGGTGATGGGGAGGGTGAGGAAGTCCACTGGGTGTTATTAATGCTGTCAGGAGCTGGCATCAGTCGGTCACATCTGTCCAAAATGCCTTCAGCAGACACTCTCCTTTCTCTCTCTCTCTGCAGCTATCAATGAACAGGAACTTATGAAGGAAACAAAGCCAGGAATTCGGGAAAATAACGGGGAGTGAAGACCCTGTGGTAAGGTGGATTCCGGCCGATACGGTCAATAAATTGTAACTTTCTGTCAGTCTTCACTTTTGTCTGACTCCTTGTAGTCTAACTGAGTGGGGGGAGGGGGAGAGATGGTTCGTAATTAGATCTATTAATGGGGACTGATATCTGTTAAATCCGGGGATGTGCTTGTGTCCAGGCAAACCGTCCTCCAGGACCGGACAGGCAGTCGGTCACTGCATTTGCGCAGCAGTTGTGCCGCATTGACCCTAAAGCCCGTTTAACGCAACCTGTTATAGTGAAAAGCAGCTTAGAGGAGAGGAGAGGGGATATGGTGTTCTGGGAGGATCTGGGATCGGTTGAGCCAAAGGGCTTTCATCATCGGAAGCGATCTTGTGATTAGTGAAAGTCTCAAAGATTTGGGATCATCCGTGTCTCGGTGTTGAGGCTTTCGGCGACGGTGAGAATCCAGGGTTGAGTCTCCCTGAACCTGATCAGTTTCTTTTCAAAAAAAAAGCTAATTTTTATCACAGCTTTCACGCCGCCTCAACAGATCAGCCCTTGAAAATAAATAAGACGCCAAAAAACAACAACCCTTAGAAGCCACTCTTAAGGCCTACACTTTAAGATACAAACTTCCCTCCCTCCAACACACAAAAAAAATGGCGGGCGTTCAATCTGAAACTGCAGTCACCAACCTAGAGACGGCTGTGCTGCCATCTGGTGGTGGTTAATCAAGACCAGTAACCGATCGAATAGCGCCTACTTTACCCCAATATATAAAGTGAGGAGACTTGACATTTTCCCTCTTTGTTTCCGCAGGTATGCGTAGGAATCGATCCTCTCCTCCTCTCTCGCTTCCCTCGTAAGAAAAATCCTGAAGAGAGCACGCGAGTGAGCTTCAGTTATTTGCACAAGTCACGCCCGCGCGCGCGGAAACCATTTTGGGAGAATGTGCTGCACGAGTGCGACGACGAGGAGCTGCGGTCTGCGTCTTTGAAGGACTAACCGTTCGCGACCAGGAGCTGAGAATGGAAGAAAAGAGAAGCTGTGAAGAAGATCACAGTGAAAGAGTTCGGACTGACAATCGCACACTTGCACATGATTGATGATTGCCTCCAACGGACTGGCCATGAGGTTACCAATGTGAACTTTTTTTAATGAACCGTCGCCTTTTTTTTTCTTTATGTCCAATATCAGCCGGGAAGAATTTTTATTGGAATCACCACAAAACAAGCAGCAACTTATAAGCAGCACTTTAGACGCCGGGGACTGATGCGATTGGTGCAACGGGGTTGTTTTCCCGAGAGGCGTCCCTGAAATTTAGCAAATGTGCCCTTGCCAAGCTCCTAGAAGGTAGCACTTGGAAGCCTTTCGTAGGGTCATGGAGCCAGAATCGAGTCCTGTCCACCAGAAGAGCACAGGAAGGTCTGCTCCGAGCCCCAGCAGGAAGGCTAGCAGGAGTGATGCATCTCCACCAAACGTAAGGTCAACCGTTGCCTATCAGCCGGGCCAGCTCCATCCCAGGAGTGAAGTCCTGCCGTTGCAGCAGAGCTTTGGCGGACTTCTGCCGATGCCCTCCTCCGAGCTGGCCCACCAACACCCCCCGCCAAAGCAGGACCCACCAAAACACCCCAGCGCTTATCCGTACGACCAGCCCCGCCATGTTCCCCAGCTCCTACCGCAAGCCACGCCACCAGCGTTCATGGCGGTCGTGAAACCCGAACCCGGGCTGGAGAGACGGTCCTGGCAACGCTTCGACCCGCGAGGCTCCATCCCCATCCCCTCAGGACCGTTCGGCCCTCCCGGCTTCCACCCTCACAGCCACCTGATTCCCCACCAGACCTCCATCATTCCCAAAGAGGAGCCCCAGGCTGTGTACGGCCACCAGGCCGCTCAGGTCACCTCCAAGCAGGAAGAGACAGGTAGAAAGGACAAGAAGCCCCCGAAGCCCGGCAAGTACATCTGTCAGTTCTGTGGCCGCCCCTGCGCCAAGCCCAGCGTGCTCCAGAAACACATCCGCTCCCACACGGGGGAGAGACCCTATCCTTGCCACTCCTGCGGCTTCTCCTTCAAGACCAAGAGCAACTTGTACAAGCACAGGAAGTCCCACGCTCACAAGCTGAAGGCTGGGCTGGTGTTGGGGGGCGGCGTTGGGGAGGCGTACGTAGACGCAGGCACAGGGGCGGGCGCGGCCAGGCTGGAGCTGGAGAAGGTGAGTGGGGACGAGCCCGAGGAGCACACGGAGGGAGACGAAAGCACAGACTCGGAGGACGAACTCTCGGGGATGTCGGGGCATTCGGTGGACTTGACGCCACATAAACACAAGCACATTCCAGGCTCCGTTTCGCTCGGCTCGCAGGAGCTCAGCCCCCCGCACGGACCCCCGTTCACGTCTCAGACGGACCCCTCGTGGGAAGAGGGCTCTCGCGCCTCCGAATCCTCCCTTGACCTTTGCGTGAGCCACAAAGCCGAAGATTCCCACTCGATCAAACAGAAGCTGGCGCTTCGCCTGAGCGAGCGGAGGAGGGCATTGGCTGACGAGCAGACCCAGACCTTCCTGAGCCCCGGCAGTAAAGGCAGCACGGAGTCCGGGTATTTCTCCCGCTCCGAGAGCGCAGAGCAGCAAATGAGCCCCCCGCAGACCAGCGCAAAGTCTTACGCCGAGATTATACTGGGCAAGTATGGTCGATACGGTCAAAGGACTTCCATGATAGCGGCAACCGCGACCCAAGGTTCTCAGCACATGCCCACGGAGGAGAAACCCAGCACAGTCTCCTTCCCCGTGCACAAAACCCAAATGGAACAGAACGTCATCGAACACATCACAAAACTGATCACAATCAACGAGGCCGTGGTGGACACCAGACAGATCGATAGCGTCAAACCCCGCCGGACCTCGCTGTCCAGACGCGGCAGCCTGGAATCTCCCAAGGCTGGCACCTCGAGGGAGGCTTTCCAGTTCGACCTCAAGTCCCTGGGTTTGCCCAGCGGCCTGGGCACGGACCCGGGCAGCAGGTTCCCCTTCGGGGACGGGGCTGCGACATCGCGTCTCGCCCATGGCTCCGCAGAAACCGTGCCCCTCACGAGGAGCAATTCCATGCCCTCAGAAGGCAGCGCCGCCCTCCCCCACGCCTTCAAGGGCAGCTATTCATTTGACGACCGGATGATGGGGGCTGAGGGTGTCTTGCGAGGTTCCGGGCACTCGCTGGCCTCCCACCACCGCATGTTGAGGAGGCAAAAAGCCATCGAGCTGCCCTCGGGTATGGACTACCAGTCGGAGGAAGGTTCGGCTAAAGAGAGCCCAGCTCAGGCTCTGATTCTGGCTCAGGCCAGCGCAACCCAGCTCGGAGAGCGAGACGCTGGACAAAGTGACCTAGTGAAGAAGACCAGGAGGGGCCCCAGGGCCAAGGGGCTGATGTACGAGTGTGATATCTGCGGGGCCCGTTACCGCAAGAGGAACAACTACGAAACCCACAAGAAGTATTACTGTTCGGAGCTGCACGGCCCCAAGGGGAGGCCGTACCTGTCTCGGGGTCCCAGGGAGACCGAGGCCGGGCCCCACCAGGCCCCCCTGCCCCCGCAGGTGATGCACTACAAGCTGGGCAGGTCGGAGCTCACGCAAGCCAGGAAACGGAGGAAAGAGAAGAGCCTCGGGGACGACGAGGAAATTCCGACGGACTACAGCAGCCGCTCACTCTCCTCCTACGAGGCTCCCGCGCCCTGCGCTACTGTCACATTTAGCCAGGCTGCTCCTCCCCCGTCCCCACCCCCTCACACTCACACCGATATACCACCCAGCACCCAATCGGTAAAGTCACTCGCCCCCGGCGAATGCCGACAAGCGGCGGAAGCTTCTCTCGGTTCAGACGCGGCGATGCGATCGATCCCGTCGGCCTCGGCGACCGCCGGCGAGAGCGGAGGCAAGAGAGCGACCGGGAAGGAGATCTCCGTCATTCAACACACCAACGCGCTGAGCCGACCCGGCTCCTTCGAGAATCAGGAATCGCTGGTGCAGGAGAGCGTGCCGCTGGCGGCTGAGCGTTCCGGCCAAAAGATTCCCGAGTCGGAAGCGAGCTGGCAGCCCCCCGCCCGGCATCACCACCACCATCACCCCTCGCTCGTCCGGCAGCACAAGATCCAAGTGCCCGAGATCCTGGTGACCGAGGAGCCGGACAAACCGGAGAGAGTGCCAGAGCCCGTCGTCGCCAAGGAGCCCGAGAAGCCGATCGAGGAATTCCAGTGGCCGCAAAGAAGCCAAACTCTGGCCCAGTTCCCGGCCGAGAAGCTACCACCAAAGAAGAAGAGGTTGCGGCTGGCGGAGTTGAGCCAGTCCTCGGGGGACTCGAGTTTCGAGTCGTCGATCTCGCTGACCCGCAGCCCGAGCCAAGAGAGCAGCGTGTCGCACGCCTCCAGTCGCTCTGCCTCCTTCGACAGGGAGGAGCTTGGCAAAGGCGAGGGCTTGCTCAGAGGGGAGGTGTCATGCCAGCCGGGGGAGCTCCGTGGCAAGCCCAGCGCTGGGCTCCACACGCTGGCGGTGCCCGCCAGCCATTACTCACACCATAGGGAGATGCGTCGCTGCTCGTCCGAGCAGGCCCCCGCCGCCCAGCACCCCTCGGAGGGCTCGGAACCCCGCAGCAAGTCCTTCGACTATGGCAGCCTGTCCTCCGAACCCCCCTCCTCCTCACTCCCCATCCCTTCCCTCTCCCCGCTGAAGGAACGTAGACGCTGCTTCCTGGTACGCCAGGCCTCGCTCAGCAGTTACACCGACCCCGAGCCGGACCCCAAACCCGTCCCTCGGCACGAACAAGCCCCTCCGCCCTCCTTGTCCGCTCAGGCCCAAACCCCTCGCTATCTCTCCCCTCCCCCTCCTCCGCCTCCCCCACCCTCACTGCCCCATTCCTGCCAGCCGGGCGACTCACACTCTGAGCTGCCTGAAATCTACACCCATTCTCATTCCCAACTGACGCAGGTCTCATCACAGCCGCTATTCCCAGCCCCTCATCATCAAGGCTGGCCATTGCCGGTGACGACCGAAGTCCTTTCAGCTCAGCTGGTGCCCCCACTCTCCTACCACCTCTTCCCCTCCCCACAGTTGCCTGTTCACCTCCAGGTTGCTGCTCAGCTCCTCCAACACCCGATCGATTTGTCGACCCCCCTCCACCCCACCCCGCTGCACCCCGCCCCCACCCTCGTTGCCACGGCCCCCTTCCCCCTGCGCCCCCACCTCGCCCTCCAGCTGCACCCCGATCCCGGCCCTCCCTTCAGGGAGCAGAAGCGTTTGGGTCGCCCGCCTGCTCCCCCCCCTTCTTCCTCCTCTTCCCCGCCGTTCCGCTCTCAGCCCGAGCCGGCGTTGCCACTGCCGCTGATTACCCACTTCCCTGAGGCCCTGCCTCCTCTGGCACCGGTGGTTGTACCCGTCAGGGTTCAGACCCACATGCCCACCTACGGCACCGCCATGTACACCACTCTCTCCCAGATGCTGGTGACACAGAGCATGGGCAGCCCCTCCACAGTGGTTCTATGCAGAGTCGAGGACAGCAGAGCCAAAGGCACTGTAGTGTGTACACCAGCCGGGCAGGGACTGAGCCTCAACTTGTCCCAGATAATAACCAGCCACCACAGAGACGTCTTCCAAGCCCCGTACTTACGGATCCCATTCCCCATGACCGAGAGAAAGGGCTACGCAACCCTGGGATCCCCCGCGGACCGCGCTTACGCGAGCGACTGTTACCCGTCTGCCATCGGAGGCAGCAAGAGGATGCTTTCCCCCGCGGGCAGTTTGGAGCTCACCATGGAGAGTCAACAACAGAAGCGAGTGAAGGAGGAAGAGATCGAAGAGGAGCCCGAAGAGAAATCCGAGCCGGAGGAACGTCCAACTGCAATACCATCCGGGCCCGCGGTGGCCGGCAGACTGCACAAGCCACTGGCCACCAGACAGTGCGTTGAGTCAAAGGCATCACCCACCCTGACCTGCCAGGAATGGGACTCGGGCTCGAAGCTGACGGTGCCCACCCAACAGTCAACAGGGTCGTCCGAAAAGTACCAGCTCTGGCCGGGCTCCCAGTACAGCAGCAAAGCGAGCCTGGCCACCATGAAGAAGGAAGAGCCAGAGACCACTAGGGAACGCTCTTCTCTCCAACTGCAAGAACCTCAGCAACCGACCTCCAGCACGTCAGAGGACACCCCCAGCCCCTTTCTCCTCACAGATGTCAGTGACGTACAGCAGGTCCTCCACTTCCCCAGCCTCCACACAACCACTAATGTCAGTTGGTGCTATCTAAACTACATCAAGCCAAATCATGAGCAGCAAACGGACCGAAGGGCCTCGGTGTACGCCAGTTGGTGCATCAGTCTGTACAACCCCAACCTGCCGGGCATGTCCACCAAGCTGAGCCTGGCTCTGCTCAGGTCAAAGCAGAGGACGAGCAGGGAAATGTACACCATGGCAGCTGTGTCGCGGCGAGATACTGGGAAACTGGTACCATCGAGTACAAGAAAACCCCGAGTCAGTGAGGTGAGACCACAACACATAGCAATACGTAGGGAGGATGCACAGAGATACTTATTGATACACAGTGATACGTAAAGATACACAATGATGAAAGAGGTACATAGAGATGCAAAGAGTTACATATTAATACATAGTGATACATAAAGATACACAATCATTAAAGAGATCCATAGAGATACATAGAGATGCAAAGAGTTACATATTAATACATAGTGATACATAAAGATACACAATCATCGAAGAGATCCATAGAGATACATATAGATGCAAAGAGTTACACAGAGATACATGGTGTTACAAGGCACAAAAGCAGACCATTCGGCGCAGTGAGTCCAATGCCGGATTGATACTCCACACGAGTCCCCCCACCTCACCAGTTCTCTCTTACTCACCGTGTTCGACACAGTCGACCATGCCATCCTCCTCCGTTAGCTCTGCTCCCTCATCTACCTTAGTGGGACCGCACTTGCATGGTTCGAGTCCTACTTAACCGACCGTCTCCATTTCATCTCAGCAAATTCTCCCCTCACCGCCGCCCAGTCACCTGCAGGTTACCCCAGGGCTCCATCCTTAGCCCTCGTCTTTTCCTTACCTGTATGCCCCCTCTGAACGATGTCATCCTCGGACATGGGGTAAATTTCCACATATATGCGGATGACACACAAATCTATTTGACCTCCTCCAGTACCAACTCCAGGTCCGCCGATATTCTGGCAAACATCAAGGGCTGAATGAGTGTAAACTTCCTGCAGCTGGATAGGGACAAGATGGAAGCCATACTCCTTGGCTCCCATCAATATCTTCACTCCTGTGGTTCTAAACTGCTCAACCTCCCTGGGCTCTACCTCAGACTCACCGAACCAATGCGCAACGTAGGTGTACAGTTCGACTCCCAACTGTCCTTCTTCCCCCACATCCGGTCCCTGACCAGGACCGCCTTCTTCCACCTCCGCCAAATTACTTGCCTCCGACCGTACCTTGCCCCAAATGCAGCCCAAGCTCTCGTGCATGCGTTTGTCACCTCCCGCTTGGATTACTCAAGCACCCTCGGCCGCACCATCGCAGCCGGTCTCCCCAGCTCCACCATTCAGAAGATCCAGCTCATTCAAAACTCTGCTTCTCGCATACTGACCTGGACCAAACTCCGTACCCACACCTCATGAGTTCTGGCCAGGATCCACTGGATGCCCATCACCGAACGGATCGACATCAAGATCCTCACTCCCACGTTCAAATCCATTCACTCCCTGGCACCTCCTCACTCCCCAATCCACCATCCAGCGCCTCCAATGAACTGTCACTGGCCTCCTGCTCTTCCCTCGCACTCTCTGCCCCACCATCGGAGGTCGTACTTTCAGCCACTACACCTCAAAACTCTGGAACATTCTCCCTCGATCCCTCTGCCTTGCCCCCTCGCCTCTTTCAAGTCCTGCCTGAAAACTTTCCTCTTTGACCGTGCTTATGGCCATCTCCCCCCTCCCCAGCTCGGAGTCAGGCTCCGCCACTGTTAAGCGTTCTAAAGACGCTACCCTGTGTGGAGGGTGCTTTATAAGTGCAAGTTGTTGTTGGCCTAATCGGTTTTCATATTAAGGCAGAATGAATGCACTATTTCTGCGCAAACTTAAACGTTAGGACAAAACAGTCTCCCAGCCTTAGAATAGGTGTAATTCAACCCGTGATATGAAATTCAAGGATTATTATAATTATTGTAATTTTTGTGCATGCGAAGGAGAAAGAGGCGGGTAGTAATTGCACAGATAGCATAAATCTCTCTCTCTCTGAACAGATTCACGCTCCCTCCCTTCACTCCGGAGAAGGTAGAAAAGACACGTGTAAAATCGAAAAGGAGGAGGAGAGGAAAGAGAAACATGAAGACGACACCTCTGTGCCCAAGAGGATGGAACCATCCAGGATCCGGATCTTTGAAGGCGGGTAAGGCTGATCGCTGAACTTGGCTTCTTCTAGTTTTGGTCTGGGATAGTTACCTTGGTAACCGAGCTAGTTTTCAGGAATATCATCTACCCCACCTCTCACATTCCCTCTACGCGCACCCCCCCCCCCACCCACCCCCTCCTCGCTGCTGTTATTTGAATATTACCCCAAATGATTCTAACGGCGTATTTGGGACACTGTATTGTCTGCCCGTCCACCAAGTCCGTTCGTACATAAAATGGCATTTGAACTCCAGACCTTCAGAGGCTGTGTTTATACAGACAAAGCTTTTCATTGTAACTCTCTCTCTATCTCTTGCACATTCTCACCCTCTCTCTCGCACTCTCTCTCTCTGCTTCTCTAACAAGGCAAAAGTAGCACAGAGTTGGTCTGTGTGCTGTAAATTCTATAATCTTTGCCATTATGAAATCAAGAAGCTCTTCAAAGCATCACTAAGAGACCCATGGAATAAAGCCAGCATTTTGACTTGAAGGAAGCTGATAACCTTTAAACGTCAAGTTGCTAACTGCTGTTCAGAGATCCTGAGATAATTTTTTTTTGTGGGTCAGTGACAATCCTGTATTTTCCATTCGGGGTTAAACGTAATTTTTTTTTTAAGAATACGTGGAAGATTATTGGAATGGTTAACTGCAGTGGTGAGTCCTGTAGCTCAGTGGTTAGAGCACTCGCTTTGCAAGTGAGAGACCTGAGTTCAATTCCAGGCAGAGGGCGAAACCTTGGGCAAGTTTCCTTACTCCACACAGAGCCTAATAATAATCCCTCCAAAACCAAAAACAATAATAAATTGGTCATTTTTAGTCTACGACTGTTTGTGGGACATCGCTGTGCGCAATTGGCTGCCGCGTTCGCCCACAAATATACGGTCAATTCACTTTACAGTGTATTCTGTAAAGCGCTTTGGGACGTCTAGAAGACGTGAAAAGTGCTATATCAAATGCAAGGATTATTATTATTATTATTATTAGTGCCGTGGTTCCCAGTACTGTATTTTTTACTGGGCATAAGAGACTTGTGAAGGCAACATTAGTCTGGACCAAAGGCCAGCCGAGTGTTTGGTTTGTTCACCGTAGCACTGCTTGCGTTTGCTTCAATCAGTTTAATTCATGTGGGCTGGAGCCATGTCACTATTACAGTATCTGAACACTTGTGGACAGATTTGCTTAATAGGAATAAGCAGAAACCACTCCAGGCAATCTGCCACCCTGGAGAAAACTTCAGTTTGCCGCCCCCCTCCCCTCCCCCACCTCCGCTTAGAACTTGCAAACTTGCATAGCTCAAGCAGGAGAGACAAATTTACTTTAAAACAGATTGCAGCTCCGGTTGAGCGTCCAAAATAATAATCGCTTCTCCCTGAAATCCTGTAGAGTATCGTAGAGTAGTGGTTAGCGCACTCACTTTGCAAGCGAGAGGACCCAGGTTCGATTCCCGGGCAGGGCAAAACCTTAGGCAAGTTTCCTTACTCCACACTTCTCTGTTTAGTAGGTATTTTTTGTTTTTTTTCCTTGCATTTGATATAGCGCTTTTCACATCGGGAGGACGTCCCAAAGCACTTCACAAAACACACTGTAAAGTGAATTGACTGTATATTTGTAGGCGAATGCGGCAGCCAATTGCGCACAGCAATGTCCCACAAACAGTCGTAGATTGAAAATGACCAATTTATTATTGTTTTTGGTTTTGGAGGGATTATTATTAGGCTCTGTGTGGAGTAAGGAAACTTGCCCAAGGTTTCGCCCTCTGCCTGGAATTGAACCCAGGTCTCTCGCTCGCAAAGCGAATGCTCTAACCACTGAGCTACAGGACTCACGAGGAACCCTTCTGTTAATCGATTGGCAGATTGCTTTTTGGAGGATAATAATCCCTCCAAAAATAAATAAGTAAAAATAATAATTTGGTCTCTCGATCCACAGCTGTTTATGGGACACTCCTGTGCACAAATAGCTGCCTCGTTTTGTCAACAAGATACTGTCAATCCACTTTACAGTAGATCCTGTGAAGCACTTTGAGATGGCTCAATGATGTGATAAGGCGCTAAGGAAAATGCAAGGATTATTATTTATTATTAAATCTGCCGCCCTGGGCAGCTGCCCAATTTGCCTGTAGCTGGGACAGCCCCTGGGAATAAGTAAGAAGAAACTGATCGGTGAGTGCTCCAAAATTCTACCCTGCGTGAAGGCTGCTATGTAAATACTACTTGCTGCTGTTGTCAAGGCATCAATTTAAGATCACCACCAAAATAACAAAGGGGAGAGGTTAACAGTGAATTTTACACATCGCGACATGGAATGCCCCACCAAAGGAAAGGAATGAGGCAGAATCCCGAAATTCTTTTTAAAAGGAGTTAGGAAAGTGTCTGAAAACCCACAATACAAGAGAGCGTGTTGGGTGGGGGTGGGGTGGGGGGCGGCGGTAGGGGTGGGAGCATGGGAGGTGGATTAAGCTTCGAGCACTGTCAGAGAGAGCGTTTATAGTCTCGGGGACTCTCACGCCCTCTCTCACTGCTGGAGACGCTCTGTTATTCTCTGAGCATATAATCAATTGCAAATCGGGAAGACTGTGCAGAAATAATCATTCCCAATTGACTTCACCCCTGAATCTTGTTTATTTACTTGGTCTAAAGTTCCCGGGAGATAGAACGCGGCTCGTCCCTCATCAGCTGTGTCCATGGTCTTGCTCCTCCCTACCTAGGCTCACCTGAAGACCTTCTTCTTTGACCATGAACATTAGATCATTAGACTAATCCATACAAAATTAATTGCTATCAACGGCTCCATTATTGTAGTATTGCAGCATGTAACTACTAGGATGGTTGGGTGAACTGGATAGACCTTAGTCTTTTACTGGTTCCTATGTTCCTATCCGCTTGATGCCAGATAGTGGGCAAAGGAGGAACCTGGCAGCAGACGCTCATGGTATGAGAGAGCCAGAGCCTCGTTGGAATCGGGCCTGGTTATGTGTTGGGTGCCAATTAGTGATGTGTTGACGATATAGTGGGTTTGAGCCACATTGAGAGTGGAGGCTGTGGCAAGAGAATGGAAGGTCACTGCACTCAGGAGAGGTTGCCGATTCCTGACATTCTTTTTTAGTATATTTAAGGACAATTTTGGTTTAAGGCCAATTTTGGTATTGGAAACTTTTAGTTTCTCTGTAGAAAACTTGTCAGCGATCGCAAGCCAGACCTGGCAGGGAATATCTTTTTACACAAGGTAATATGGGTGATTGAGTGCTGGTTGAAATCTCAACGAGTCCTAATGACTAATTTGGGATTCGGAATGGATACAGAGCCCTGGGACTGTTGGCTTTCCGTCTTCCTGAAGCCGGGCGTTCTGCTGGGACAGTGGTATAATCAAGAACTGCAGAATGAATGTACTGAACCCCGGGACCACAAGGGAAGCTTTATTAAGTTCTGGCAAGATTGTTATTCTTAAGCAGTGTAGAACTTGTGTACAGTGTAAGTGCTTTTTCTTGAGAGTGCATAGCATTTGGATAGGCCTTGCAGTGATTGCTTGCAGATGGCCTCACAGAGAGAGTTTGTTCCACCATCGCAGGTCTTCCATGTGGCAGCTCCCTAAGGCCATCGGACTCTGTGATTTGCCATACTTTTATTTGGTGGGGGGGTAGGGGGAGAGGGGAATGTATCACTTGTTTTCAATTGGTCCAACTCATTCTCCTTCCATTTCTTCCTTCCCCGGCATTGGTGCCAAACTCTCATCATCATTCAAGACTGATTGTACGAAGGCTGCTATATAAATGCAAGTTTATTGTCTGTTGTACAGTCCTGGCCATTAGTGACTTGAGATAAGGTGTGATTCAGCATCTCTCCAATGACTTGCTCAACCTGTCCAGTGATCATGGGTCGAGTCAGACAGAGAGTGTTAGCTGCGGAAAATCCAAACTGCCTGTCACTGAACAAAAGGACTTGGAAGTACCATGGTCGAGGCTTCATTTGAGAGAGTGCTTGATGCTGTTGAGGGAATGCGTTTGGGCGGGTGATCGGGAAGGATGAGATGGAATGGGCCAACGGGACATTCTTTATCCGAACTGCTCTCGTTGTCACTCGGCCTTGATTAGGGTCCAAAGGAAAAGGAACGGATGATAACAGCGCACAATCCTCCCAACTGCATTTACATGTGGTTTGCGCAGTTTGCATGATGGGCAGGTTTGCCCACATTGCCCTCAGAGGAGCAGAAATAGAGTCCCATACGCATTAGCATGCTCGCCTTGAAAGCGGGTTTGATTCCTGGGTAGAGCACCATAGGCAAATTTCCTTACTCTACACGCCTCTGAAGACCCTCCTCTTCGACCATGCCATCGGCCACCCCCCTTTCCCTCCCCTCCCTTCCCCCCCCGACCCCAGCTCGGGTCTGAAATGCTGTACTCTGTCCAGCGCCTTGAGACGTCCTCCCGACATGAAAGGCGCTATACAAATGTAATCTTGTTGTTGTTTATCAAGCAATAAATAAGAACCCGATTGTTAGTCTTTTGGCAAATCGATTCTGCAGGTAATAATCCCTTAAAAGACAATTTGGTCGCTTAATCCCACAACTGTTTGTGAGACACTGTTATGTGCAATTAGATGCTGCTTTTCATAGAATTATACTGTACAGAAGGAGGCCATTCGGCATATCATGTCTGTGCTGACTCTTTGAAAAGAGCTGTCCAAATCAATCCCACTCACCACACTCTCTCCACAGCCCTGCGAACGTGTCCTCCCCAAATATGTTCCGCCCAAAAATACACAACCAATCCACTTTACAATATATTCTGCGAAGCGCTTGAATGGTCTCAACGACGTGATAAGGAGCTATATCAAATCCAAGGATTATTGTTGCTGTATTATTATCTGGGCCCATTCCCCCTGTCATGACACCTCAGCGCGAAGCAGAAGAGCGAGTCAGAGAGCTGCTCCTGCAGTCCGTGAACTCAACATCGCTAAACATGTGGCATCTGATCCAGAGTCTAAAATAGTGGTTGAACGTCCGCCTGGCCTCCTGTACCCAGGAAACCATACATCAGGCTTATTAGTGTTTGAGCACAGAGCAGTGCAATAAACAGGCCATTGCCAGAGTCACAGCCCTTAGTGGCGGCTAAGAACAGCAAAGTAGCTCTCGGAAACAGAGCACAAGCCCTGGATTGTGCTCTGCAGACACTGCGTTTACTTTTCAAAGATTTGTGTCTCTTTAAACCTCATTTATTTATTTTTGGAGAAGGAGGGGTGGTGGTGTGAGGGGGCATGAATTCAATCTGTGAGGAAAGTCGAGAACCGTTTATGTATATGTATAATATATATATATATATTTCATTTTTAAATTAGTTTCACTTAAGATCCATTTAAAAGTCACCTGTCTCAGGTAGATTAATGGCCTGTGTCAGGTTAAGTAGACACGTAGGGCAACCCAGCTCTCGGTGACGGAGGTTAAATGAGGCAAGGCAGCACATATAATGGTAACTCTCAGACAGATGTCTATTTTCATAAGGTTTCTTGATTGTAAGTTGGATGAATTAACGTAACCCCTCCAGTGCTGATTTCCCAAGGAGCACGAGTGTCAGGTGTGACTGGGAGATCAAGGCCTCGACATGGGGCTTAAACCCACAACCTTCTGCTTCAGACGAGACGCTAAACCGAGTGCCCGTTTGTTGGAGCGGATGTTAAACGATCCTACGGCGCTGTTCGAAAAGCGGAGGGAATCTGCCCAAGTATTCCAGTTAGCAGTCCTGGTTTCATAATTGGCCATTTGCTTCATGGCTGTGTGTGTGTGTGTGCATGTGCGTGTGGGACCTTCGTTGAACACAAATTGGCTGTTGCATTTGCCCCCAAATATACTTAACAGCAATTCCCAGTGAAGCCCTTCACGTTGGAGGCACTGTGTGAAACACAGGCACGATTATGATTATTATTACTCATTTTATTTCAGCAATGGGCATATAAAATAAATCCAATATATATTCTTCGCATTTTTTCTAGAAAAAAATATAAAAATCACGGTTTGCTATCTGCCGTCAGAAGCTGGTATTGTGGCTGTCATGAAGGCCGCTGTGTCTCACGCTGAACGGATGCCAATTTGTTGTTGTGATGCAATTATATGTTTTAATGCAATTTTTGGTTGAGGCCAAATTAGCCCAAGTCTAGTAGCCAGGATAGAGCATGAGTCTGGGACAGCCTGTCCACTCCCGGCTTCCCCCGAGTGCTGGTCAGAAGCTGCATTGTTCACTGCGCCAAACTTCTCCTCTAGGCGCCAGGCTGGTTCTGAGCTTGAACTCGCGCCGAGATTTATACCGAGCAACAAAAAGAAAATTAAACCACAGTTTATAAGAACCTAGAATCGGGGTCCCTAGGAGTGGACGGAAAGTGGCGTATTAATTATCAGCTAAAATTGACCTGGTGTGCGCTTTTTTAAAAATCTTTCTAAGGCGCTTTTCTATTTGTGGGTCGGCTTTTTCTCTCTCTAAGTGGCTCCTGAGGGAACCGCAAATTGTTCTCTTCTGCTCATATTTCCATCCCGACTTGGCCTTACCTCGTCTGTTTCGTGCCTGCCTCGCTCCTGCTCCTTGCTTTTTACGATCTCAGCATATAATAATAATAAGCTTAATAATAAGAAGAATCATAATCCTTACATTTATACAGCGCTTTTCACGTCGGGAGGACATCCCAAAGCGCTACACAGAATATTCTTTGAAGTGTGTTTTGTCAGCAAAAACGGCAGCCAATCTGCACCCAGAAAATGTCCCAAAAAACAGCCGTGAAATGAATGACCAATTTTTATCCAGAGGATTGGTGGTCAAGACACCAGGAGGAGAACCTCCCTTCTCTTTTCGAATAGCGCCATGGGATCCTTAACGTTCACCTGAACAGGCAGATGGTACCTTAATGTCTTATCTAAAGGAAAGTGCATTGTCTCATCCGAGACATGTCAATATAATTCCAAGTCCTGACGTGGGGTTTGAACCCACAACCCTCTGACTCAGTGGCGAGAGTACTACCACCGCACCAGGCTGACACACTTCTCACCCTTCAAAAATACACTCTTCCCATTCCTCCTTCTGAGTAACGCTGCCCTGACCCAACCTTCCTGAAAACCTCTTATGGATATTGTTTGCTCTTGGGCTGAAACTCTGGACAGTGTTGAGGGTAACACTTTGTGCCAATTATAACGTTTCGGGGGTGTAGGTGTGTGGGGGGAAGGATGCGAAATTCCATTAGCAACTGACATTGCCCAAGGCTCCTCAGTTCAATTGTTGGGGCTGAATTTGAAGTATTTTCTCTATAGTTACTGAGAATCCCATTTTCAGGAGCCAGAGAGAGCCTGTAACAAATTGGACTCAAATGTTCTGGAAGAATTGCCTATGAGTTGCCTATCAAACCAGCTCCTACATTCAGACTCACGTCTGATTGTGCCGCAGCTCTATCCAGGTCACATCTGATCCTGAGATAAAGAGGCTTGTGTCTACGTGTTTGTTTCTCCAATGCAAATCTTATGGAAATGTTGGGAGATTACGCCCCAAAGGAGCAGAGCTGTGGGTCTGGCTGGCGCCTCTTAAGTGAGGAGTTTTGGCTAAAGCAATGTGAGGGGCATGTTTACTTCACCCCTGTTACCACTCTTTCATCAGAAGGTTTGCGGGTTCAAGTGCCACACCCCACCCAGTCGGGGTCTTTGAGCTCACGGACCAGGCTGGTGCTCCCACACCCCAACAGCCAAGAAACTGAAAGGTTTCCACGCGAAATGGAAACAAGTGTAGTGACTGTCTAATTTGCCAGCTAGGACACCAGGAAGAACCTTCTTTTGTCAAACTAGCTTCACGTGGCTATCGTTGACTCTCACCTGAACAGGGCACGGTTGTTGTGGGGAGGGGGTTAGTTTAACATCTCTCTTGAAGGGTGCCCCCCACACCCCCCCATGCAAAAAATGTAACACCCAACCCCAGTATTGCATTGTGAGCTTAAAGTCCCTGAGGTGGAACTCACAACCTCCTGCCACAGAGCCGAGAGAACGGCCGACTGAGCCAGGCTTTTCTTTGCAAGACCACGTAGCCACTTGGGGGCTGAATAGCCACCCTCGGGGCAAAGCTTGTGGTTTGTTTGACGCACAGTGAGTACATAAAGGGCTCTCTGGCTCAGTGAAGAGGCATTTAACACCATTTACTTATAAAGCCTTTTCTGGGCCCTGATCAAGATTTAATTTACTCTTTGACATGTTGGTTCTGTGGTCGTTAAATTAATGGGACGCACTACCTCCTCACAGCACCCAGCGACACAGCCCATTAACAGCCAGGGGTAGTCAGTGGCCTCACTCCAGACACTCAGCAGCCTTGTTTTCTTTCAATCAGTGCAAGAGTGTTTTTTTTCAGTCGGTCTCAGAAAGCCCGTCACAGGGTTAAACAAAAGCATTTGATGCAGCACCTGTAACATCCACAAATGGCTCCGAAATCCTTTGCAGGGAAAACCGCTGTCGAGTGTAGTGACTGTGTATCCGTTGGCAAAATGTGGCAGCAGCCAAATTTGTGCCCGGCAAAGGTCCCACGCATGCAAGCCAAGAAGTGAACTTGCAGTTTATCTGGTAGATATCTTCACCAGGATAGCCCCTACCACTAGAGAAGGATAAAAGGCGAGGTGTAATCCCAATTTTTGACAAGGAACTATGGAATTGGATCAACACTGTGGTGGGTGAGATGAGAAGGGGAAATGAGCAGGGGAATGGGGATTAGAATACCCGTGCTCCAGTGTGGAGCGAGCACCAGCAGGAGACACGATGGGAAGAGAGCAGGGGAATGGAATTAGAGTAGAGAGCTCTAGTGGGAGAGCGAGCAGCGGCACAGACGCGAAGCACCAAATGGCCTCCTTCTGTGCAGTAAAACATTCTACAATTCTATGTTAGGCGAAAGCAACAGCTGTTTTTTAAATTGAGTCGGGATAATACCCTGAACAACCCGTGCCAGGTTAACACGAGATCGTTTCCAGAGACGTCCTACTGTTACATAGATGTACTATTTTCCATTTCACATTTTCTTTTAAATATTTTTTATAAAAAAAACAACTTTCACAGTCTTGTTTTAACCTCTTGCACCTTTAGCTCTTGGGCACTTCACTTCACTTCTCTCTTTCTTCTCTCTCCGTCTCCCCCCCCCCCCCCCCACCTCCCACCTCTGTCTGTCAGCTCTTTAAGTTCCCTCCGCCCGCTTCGTTAACTGTTGTGTTTGTTTTGTTTTTGGTCTGTCGTTCTTTTTCCCCCTCCCCCAAGGTATAAATCCAACGAAGACTATGTTTACGTGCGGGGACGGGGAAGGGGAAAGTATGTGTGTGAGGAATGTGGCATTCGCTGCAAGAAACCCAGCATGCTGAAGAAACACATCCGCACTCACACTGACCTGCGTCCCTATGTCTGCAGCTATTGCAACTTTGCCTTCAAAACCAAAGGTGAGGGGGGGGAGCTCTTTACCAGCCGCACGTGCTACGCCCCGCCGTCCTGTCCGCCTGGCTCAGTCGGTAAGCGCTCTCGTCTCTCATGGAGATCCCCTAGTGTAGTGGTTGGCGCGCTCACCTCGCAAACAAGGGAACCCCGGTTCGATTCCTGGCCGGGGCGCAACTATTCGGCACGTTTGCTTACTCCACACTCCATTGTTGGCCTAGCAGTAAGTAGGAACCCGCTTGTTGGTCAATCGTCAGATTGCTTTCCTTAAATCCTTCCCCCCAAACAAATTGGGCCGCAACTGTTTGTGGGACACTGCTGTGCACAATTGGTCACTGTGTTTCGCCCACAAAGTATAGTTAATCCAATTTACATCATATTCTGGGAAGTGCTTTGAGACATCTCACCGACGTGATGAGGCTTTATATCAAATGCAAGGATTATTATTGTTGTTGTTGTTGAGTGGAGGCTGACGGGTGGTGTGTAGTGACTTTGTTGTACAGCAACAAAGTCCTGTTAAATGCAGGCATGAGGTGAACCGAGGGTTCTTGACCGACACACAGGAAGAAACTTCCTTCTGCTTCCCACTGGGGAATCGTAACATCCAAGAGCATCGAAAGGTCTTTAAAGAGCTGCTTTAACACCTCGTCTGACGGACGTCAAGTCTGTGCCGATCTAAGACTGTGACCTCAGAGTCCCATCTAGTGGCTTAAACCTGCAGCTCGCTGGCCTAGAGGTGTGAGTGCCAATGACTGATCCAGGCTGATGTCTTTAAGGGATGTCACTTAGGAGCAGACCCAGAATCAGTTTGCGTTGGTTTCAGTGTAACAAGTGTAATAATAATATAATAATATCCTTGCATTTGATATAGCGCCTCATCACATCATCGAAACATCTCAAAGCCCATCTCAGGATCGACTCTATAAAGTGAAGCATTTTGTAGGACGAAACTCAGCAGGACACAGGAAGAATGAAACTCCTCTTTTCGAACAGCACCAGGGGATCTTAAACGTCCACCTGAACAGGCGGCCGGAGCCTCAGTTGAATGGTCTCATCACCCTGTCGCTGAGCGATAGCAATAACTCAGTGCCTCACAAAGCCCCTGATGTGAGCAGTCTGGGAGATCAGCTTCTCAGCTCCTGCTTTGTGTAGCCGGGCTGCCCCGGGGAGGAGGGGGAACACTCGCTGTCCGGAGTGAGTGCTTGAAAATCTGGGCGCACACCAGAGCAAATATTGAGCTTCCCAGTTGCTATTCCTATTGGAATATTTGGCATGCCCAGAGCAAGGTCCAAACAGATGGTTCAGGGAATTTGGGTTTCAACCTGAGCGCTCTTCCTGTTCCAATAAAGGGTATTTTGTGCTGTTTTGTTAACTGAGAGGCCCATCTCCCCTTCACAGACCAGTGGTTTTCTTTGGCAGCCCGGCCTGACTCGCGGGTGGTACCTCCAGCCAGCCTCTGTCGGTCCCCAGCTGTCCAGAAATTAGTTCGAGCTTTTATTCCGATTATTGTTATGTATTTTTTTTTAACTTGTCTTGATACACACACTCGCTCGCGCAATGAACCGGTTTCGACCTTTTTTTAAAAAAGAAAATCCGCATTTTTCAACTTTTTATTACGTCAGCCTGGCCTTTTCTCTCCCGCGCCCCCCAACCACCCACTCCTAATCCCCCTCCCCCCCCCCACTCACTCCCAGTGGGAATGATGGATGGCGGTGGCTTACACAGGGAAAAATAAATAGGTAATGATTTGTCAGTAATATAATAGTTGGCGGAAGGCATTTTGTTTCTTTCAGATTAAACACTTTTTTTTAACCTAATTCCCAAACCAACCTCAGGTGCCAGTCTGCCTTGGCCTCGTCTCCCAATCAGAACGTTGTGGGTTCAATTCCCCCCTCTTCCCCACAATTGAGCAACTGAGCTCCCTGTCCAGGCTGTGCGCTGCACTGCTAACCTTTTGGATGTCACGTTGAGCCAATGTCCCATCTGCCTGTTCAGGTCGACAATAGAGATTCCATCACAGGGAGAAAAACCTGAAGCGAGCGATGGGCGAGTGTTTCACCATCCCAGTTTTCCCCCCTCGGCAGCCGGTGAGGCGGAAGGTTTGGGAGAGTGAGAGACACCCGGGTCACACGTTGGACTTGAGGCCAAGAATCAGTGTTTCCGAGTCACTTGCCTCCTGCTCCCCTGGCACAGAATTTCCAGCTACTTCCTTCCCACCAACCTGAGGCCAGATCACAAGTGTCACTGCTGTCAATTTGGCGAGGATGTCTTCCTGTCCGCAGTGATAGGGAATATCACGCTGTCACCTAGTGTTGTGGCAGCAAAGGACAGATCATCTCCCTCGCCCACCTCCCACATCCTAATCTTAACCCCACTCCGCTGCTCTGAGTCTCTGTGACTCGCTTTGAGACATCCTCTTGATGTGCGTGTTGTAATTCTAATGCCTCTCATGCCCTGTGCCCCACAGGGAACCTGACAAAACACATGAAGTCCAAGGCCCACAGTAAGAAATGCCAAGAGATGGGAGTGACGGTGGCTTTGATGGAAGAGCTGGAGTCAGAGGAAGGTAAGACTGCTTGTCTCTCTCTGTCTCTGCCTGTCTCTCTATCTCTCTTTGTGTCTGTGTCTCGGTCTCTGCCTGTCTCTGTTGGTTTTGCTTGCCGTTATTCAGAAGCACTGGGTACGGGGGAGAGGGATTGCAGAGCTGAATCCTCGCTCCCCTGTTTGTTGATTTTAGTTTGTTAGTTAGTGATTCTGGAATGTTTTCTAAGTCACTCTGCTTTCTCTCAGCCCCTAATTATACATGTAAAAAATTATAGGCTTTGGATTTATTATTTTTTCTTTCCCTTTCATCGTTTGAAAGCATCTTTTATTTGAGTTTCTCAGAAGCATTGCCGAGTGGGACAACGAACAAATGTGACCACTGTGCCGCACTTTGCGCCTGCTTTCACAACCACAGTCACAAGCCCGGTAAAGGCACAAAATATCTCAGAGAATTGTGGAGTCCTGTAGCGTAGTGGTTAGCTCTCTCGCCTCGCAAGCCAGAATAGGCGGGTTCAATTCCTGAGCGGGGCAAAACCATAGGCAAGTTTCCTTACTCCACACACCTCTCTGTTTACCTAGCAGTAAGTAGGAACCCAGTTGTCAGTCGATTGGTGGATAGCTTTCCGGGGGTAATAATCCCTCCAAAAAATATATATATATAAATTTGGTCACTCAATCCACGACTGTTTATTCCAGGAAGGGCCTTGTTACCACGGAGATGAAAGGATTGTCAACTCAACAGTCACTACACTTGACAGCAGTTGCCTGCTTTGAGATGTTTTGGGCTTATAGGCACTGTCTATACAAATGTAATTTTGTTGTGTTGTTGTTGTATCAAATGCAAGGATAACGTTCATTTAGCACTGAATTAGATCCCGCTGCATTTGTTTCTGTGGGACTTTGTGGCTAACTGTTCCCTCCCCTCATGTATCTCCTTCAGGAACCAGCGAGGAGAAGCTCAAGAAAGCAGAGGAAAGCGAGGGCACGGACGCGACGGAAGAACATCAGTTTTCAGACGTGGAGGATTCGGACGATGACGAAGATAACGATGACGAGGATGAAGAGGAAGAGGAGGAGAGCCAAGAGGAACTGTCTTCGGAGATGAGGAGCGTCAGCCCGAATTCACTTGGGACAATTACCACGTTCTCTAAGGGGGAAAGCTTGGCATTGCCGTTGGACACCATCTCAAAGCAAGAGCCCCTCCTGACCACTCACTACTCACTGATGAGTTACTCAATGTCTTCATCTCACCTTCACGCCGGGCAACTAATGGCGTCGTCGGAGCTGGGCACGGTGCCTGTGTGTTACGCTGCCTCTTACGCTCAGCTGGAGGGAAGTTCTCCAATGTCACCGTTGACCTCCCCTGAGCGTCTGACATCATCGCACAGAGAAGCCTCAGCCAGAGACGCCTCCCCCAAGCGTCAGTGGTCCCCGAAGAGAGAGGTGCCGTCAGGAAGCCGTCTATCACCGGAGAGAGAGGAGCCCTCGCCAGGACACAGGCAGGCATCGTCGAGTCAATGCTTCTCACCGGGGAAGGAGTTATCACCAGGACGGGCTCCGTCGCCACGGAGACGCCCGTCTCCCGGACGAGAGGTGTCGCCCAAGCGCTGCTCATCGCCAAGGACAGAGACGTCACCGAGGAGGGAGGTCTCACCCGGGCGGCCTTCGTCACCGGAGAGAAAGGGGTCGCCGGGTGTCGCCGTATCTACAAGATACCTGTCCCTGTGGAGGGACGCTTCTCCGCGGAGACGAGCATCACCCGTCCGGACCAGGTCCCCCAGGAAAGAGGAGTCACCGGATGCCAGGTGCCAGTCACCGCCTCGACCGAGCGGCCAAAGCTCCTCATTCCTCACGCAGCAGAGTGGGGCGCCCTCCGCAGCTCTGCCACCCGGGCTGCCCGGCAAAGAGCTGGAACCACCTGACCTTCAACCGGTAAGGGAGTGCGCAGCCCTCGTAGGTTGTAGGTTCGAAGCCTGAACTTACAGGTCATGTGGGCAAGATGGGGGTGTGGTACGGAGGGGGAGGGGTGGGGTGGCGTGTGGGCAGGTGGTACCAGTGTGTGGGTGAGGGCAGGGGAAGGTGTTGGGGTGGGGTTTGAGTGGGGGAAAGGGTTGGATCAAGTGGGTCAAAGGGTACTTCTTCATCTCTCTCTGAGGGCTGTGCAGGGGGAGAAACCTTAACAACTTCAGCCCCAAACTACAACAAAACGTTAGTTTGCATAGAACGGACCTGAGTGCAGAATAAACTCTTTTGTCCCTTCTTCTGTTTTGCTTTTCACAGAAGACCTGGAGATTCGGACAAGGCGGCTTGTACGAGGAGGTCTGTCCACCGCCCCTAGCTTGGTGTCCTCACCCGACCAGGACTCTGCCCAGCGGGTCGGAAGGGCAGAGTGAGGCGTGGCTGGGATTCCGCCCTCGGGCAGGGGGTGCACTGTTCAGCCACCTGCCCCTGCACTCCCAGCAACTGGTAAGAACTCCCTATCCCATGATCCCGATCGGCGGGATACAGATGGTTCAGGCCAGACCCGGTGGCCATCCCCAGGCTCGGTGAGCTCCCTGCAGCCGGGCTTCTCCCTCACCGGCTTCACCGCCGCCAAATCCGAATCGGCCGCCCGTTCAGAGGATGAACCGTTACCGAGACCGCGGTCGGCCAGTCCGGCCACTCCCCAGCCGTTCCCCTCGCTGCACGCTCCTCTGGCCAGAACGCAGAGCGTTGCCCCACACAGGACGAAGGCGAGCGGGTTTGAGGGCGAGGGAGTGGCGGGGACGCTGGCGTACACGCAGGAGGAATACAGGGTACAAATTTATTCCGAACCCAGCACTAGATCCGCTCGGAGTCTGTTGGAGCAGCACAGCAGCGGCTCGGTGAGGCAGGACGGCAGCCCCGACCGCTCGGAGCCATCTCCCCAGCCTTCCACCAGCGGAGAAGGAACCTCAAAGGATCCGAGCGAGTACCAGCGCTCGGTCGCCTGCTACGAGTCGGGCCGCACTTTAGCCACCAAACGCCGTCCGTTAGACGGAGTCGGCGGCGGCAGCAGCAGCAGCTCCTGCTCGGAACCCTCCAGCCCCTCGCACTCTTTCCAGCCCGCCAGGACTTTGCCCCGAAGGCAGGGTCACCCGTTCAGAACGCACAGGGACGCCGGCCCATCGCAGGGCGAGCACCATAGCGGCGCAGCACAGCTCGATGCAAAAAAGGACAGCAGTGATGCAGGAACTTCATAGCACCAACCCCACCGCCCCTTCCCTTCCCCCGCCCCCACCCCCCAGCCTGGCCCACTCCCCCACCTCCACACCCACACGTATACCCTGCAGGGTGGTCCAACCCTTTTGGCTGCTGAGGGACAGATGCCCCTATTTCCGAAACGTTCGCGGGCCCCATAAGCAATATTTTACACTTGATTGTCCAGTGCCATTGCCGGGCAGTGGCTGAGCCCCTGGTGAGCGACGGCCGATCGGCTCGAGGCCTGCGGGTGGGGCCCATACCTGCTCGTTCGGGGTGAGGAGGTTGGAAACGGTTTTCGTGGGCCAGATGCGGCCCGTGGGCCGCCAGTTGGACCACCCTGCAAGTTAGAGGAAACTTAACGGACATTTCTCAACACTAGATACCTTCTCTACGTCGCCGTGAATGTTGGTCAGGTGAAGCATTGTACAGCATGACCAAAATCTCCACAAGGTTTTTCCCCCTGTCTATTTCCGAGTCCAGTATTATTATGTACGCAGTTACTTGTGCCTTTCTTCTTTGATTTTTTTTTGTTCCTCCAAAAATAAAAATGTATTAGAGAGAGAGGGAGAGAGAGAGAGAGAATTAAATAAAATTATTGAGGCTGTGAATTTTTTTTATATATAAAAGGAGCTACTTAATCGATTCATATTGGCTTTTTTTTGGGGGGGGGAGCGGTGTTGGGTAGGGGGTGGTGGGGGATCTCTTTGGATCGGGGGAGGGAGGGAGTGAGTCACTATTGCAAAAAGAAAATATAAAAGGGAAAGCAATTTGTGTGATGAATGCACTGAAGCTGTATTTTTATATGGATAAAAACAGAACATTGTAAAACTTGTTTCCGTGTGTACAGAAAATAATTCTATGATGCATATTTATTGTATTCCTGTATTTAATTGTTTTTATAAATGGCTAATTTTTTCAGCATCCCGGTGGTCTCTGTGCGTTTTGGTAGCTTTTTCGAGTGGAGAAAACGAGTTACTTTTTAATCCGGACGAGAGAGAGAGAGAGAAAGAGAGAAAACAAATGAGGAAGAGTAGGAGGGTGTTTACCGTTTAATGGGTCCCACTCCCCTGAACTAAAAGAACAGAGGAATTCCTGAGTGGTACAGCTTTAAGAGCACCCGGGTAGGGGGGGGGGGGGGGGGGGTAACGGGAGAAAAGATTTGCTCCACCTGCCTCAATTTGGGGGTGGTGGGGGGGGGCGTGGGGGGACTTCACGAAAATAATTTAACAGATTAATCATTTACATCCTGAATCGCCGGCCGGTTCAGCTCTCTCCCTTTCTGAAGAATTCTATCCTCGTTTGCCCGTCTCCTCCCGTTTAATCGCAGTTTCGAGCAGACGAGGGGGAGATTGGGGGGACGGGGGGGAGAAGGGTATTTTAATAAGCTTGTGTTTCTTTTTTTTGAAAGACTTCTTCCCATTCGTTTTCCTTTTGACCTTCGATCTATTTCAAAGTCCCTTTTCTTGATGATGACGGGTGAGAGAGGGAGTGTGGGGATGGGTGAGGTGAGGGCGGGCAGTGGGTAGAGATCTTTTTGGCTTTTAATCACGTGATTCCCTCTCCGTCTCCAATCTCCCCGCAGCCCCCCCCCCAACCCATCCCCAAACCCCTGTCTCAGTAGAGCAACATACCTCAGAACGCAGTTGAACTTCTCATGACCAGCGTTCTGGAGCCATTCTCGTCAGTGCTTAACGAATGTAATTTTATAAATAAAATAAGTTTTAATATATTTTTTCGAAACAAAATGCACTTAGAGAACTATTTCAGGTACATTTTCCGATGGAATTGGTTGATGTGAAAAGAGTCCTTACTATTTTCCCTGGTTGGCAGTCCATAACCTTTGACTGCTCACATAATGGCTTCAAAGCACAGTATTATTTTAAATTTAGGTAGTGGGAAACTTTGTTTTAAAAAATAGAAAAGTTCCCCATCAGAAAGCAGTGGTGCAACAGCTTATCTGTGCTGTTTGTTACATTAAATCTAGCTGCAAACGCAGTATCATTGATTCACTTCCCGACCGTGTCTCTCAAACATTATTTCAATACTCTTGTTGTTAAATTGTAAGTTTTATCTCCAGCTTTTTGTGTATCTCTGCAGGCGGATAAGTATTGCTCCACTGTGCTCTGTGATCTTAAAGAGACAGAGAACCTTGTTTCCAGGTCTAACCGGGTTTGAGCACAATTGTTTATATGAAATAAAAATATGAATTTATTCTATAAGGCACTATATCAAATGCAAGGATTATTATTATTATTATTCATTCTTTCAAAACAAAATCAACGCCGTTATTTGGCAATACAATCCGACACAGTTTACATTGACACAGCGCCTTTCACGTCGGGAGGACGTCGCAAAGCATTTGCACTGCTGGTGGGCATCCGAGCCCGGGGGAAGGGGTGGGGGGGGGAGAGGGGAGAGAGAGGTTGGGTTGAGAGCCGAAGAGGGTGGATGCGGAGGAAGGAAAGGCGACCAAAAGCCCAGTCGTAGAGGCCATGACTCGGAATAAACGTAATTTAGGTAAAACTGGAAAGCAGGAAGGGGAATCTGTTCGCAGCTTAGTTTTATTGGGGAAGGTGCGGGGAGTGGGGTGTAATGGGAAGAGCGGGGTTATAGGGCAAGCCAGCGAAAGGGGGAATCTCATCTCTTTAAACATCAAACTCAAATTGATACCTGTTTGTTTACCGGCGCGCCCTTGAAGACTTTTATTATTTTTTAAGAAAAACAAAATAAAATCTTTTTTTATATATATATATATTAAAAAAAATGTACATTTGCATGATATCAACAGTATGGCACTTAGTCCCACTTTAAGTGTACGTCAGTATATAATATGTCTTGGTAAATTTGATATTTTTTTTGGAAGAAATAATGAATTGTTTTTTCCCCTTTGCAAAGGTTGTATGTAATCTTTAAAAACAAAATCATTGATTTAGTAAAAATGAATAAATAAATAATAATTCTATACATTTGGGGGATTCTTAAACTGAGGCAATACATTCCAAATGATAGTGTAAATGATGTATAGTTCTAACTGTGTATTTGGATTCATCTTATAACTTTATGTCTTGACAATAGATCTAGATTTTTGCACTTTTTTGCAACACTTGATCATGGGGACGAGATGTTATTACCTTCGAAAGCGAAAAATGCAGGTATTTAAAAAAAAAAAATGTGTGTGGAAAAAAAAAAGCACAGGAGCCGGTCGTTAATGAATTAATTCATATATAAAAAAAAATGTAACCAAAAAAAAAAAGGGAGAGAGGGATCAAAAACTAGAGAAAAAAAAACTCCCCACGAAAAACTGCTAGGATTCAGCATTGGATGTCTGTAATTTTATTGTAACATTTACATCTGTACTGTGAATGGATATGTTTTTACCAGGTATTCGATCAGCCTCTGCCATAGTTATGGATGGCAGAGAGATCGGGCATATTTTTTAAAAGCATGTTGGAATAAATTTTACAAACTCAATGTGTTTCCAGGGTTGTCTCATTACCTCAGCCACCCCCATCCCCCCCGCTCACTCTCCTCCTCCCATATCTCTGTCTTTCCTTCGCCTCCCTCCCTCTATTCCCCTCTCCCTCCTCTCTCTTTCCTGTTCTCCCCTCTCTCTCTCTCTCTTGTGCTTTGGCCCAACAACAGCCTTTCCTAATGATCGCTGGCCTATTTTACAACCTGTGTTAAATCATTTCTACTTTCCCATCGAACGTTCACTTTCACTGCTCTGAACGATTGAAAAATATTTATTTCAGGACCTTCAGGAAATAAAATATAGATTTTCCTTGCAATCTCCAGCCCAGATAGCTCGGACGCTACCCTAACGTGAGGGGCACTACGTAAGATGCAAGTTGTAATAGTGGTTGGTTGGGTGCTTTTAATGACACGTTTTAACCAACAGAGCGTGAGGAGAGAATTTTAATGGGCAAAATCGTCCTGAGCTAAACCCAGAAGATTTGTCTGAAGATTTAATATTGCACAGAAATGTGCCGTAAATCTAAGGGCAGATTCCGTGAAGTGCTTCTTTACATGATGACTGATCAGCAGCTGGAAGAGATTATCTAGAAGGTTGGTGAGCCAGGACACTGGGAGGGAGGGCAGACTGACAGGCGGGGGTTCTGGAAGGATGAGGCCAAAGAGCTTTCTTCAACCCAACCAATAATAATAATCCTTGCATTTGATACAGCGCTTTATCACGCCTTCGAGGCAACTCAAAGCCCTTCACAGCAATACGCTGTAAAGTGGGATGTCCTCCCGACGTGAAAGGCGCTATACAAATGTCATTTCGTTGTTGTTTAAGGGTGAAACACAGCCAATTGCGCACAGAGGCGTCCCACAAACTTGTGG